ATAGCAGTATCAGAGCGTAGGAAACGTAAGAAGAAGCGGATACAGAAGCGTGGAGCTCTTACAAAGGGAGTCGGCGAGGATATAATTGCTCAACGCGAGGCTGATGAGCAAATTGCTTATGAGGAGCGTCAAGGAGGGGAGCGATCAGGTGTTAGCCGCCAGGCTCTGGCGCGGTGTAGTAGGTGTAGAGAGACTGGCCATAATTCGCGTACATGTAAGAAAGATACTTTAGATAGTGTTTAATCTACTACCTTGACATATATAAACTTTATTAAGTTGTAGTAGAGCTGTATACGAAGAGAGGTGCGTAAAGTTGGTGGAGGTGCGCCGCTCGCTTGTAGAGGTGCCGGACGGTCCAACGCCGGATTACGTCCTCCAACACCAATTATTCTATCTACTTCAACCACCTATAACGTAACCACAATGCAATTAATTGACGCTGCGCTTGCTGCTATTAACGTGCTGAAACCTAATGAAAAGCATGTATACTCTTAAATTGCCAAAAAATATGGTGTTGACCCAGGAACGCTGAGCCGCCGCCACCGAGGTATTTCTCGCTCCAGACAAGCAGCTGCACAAAACCAGCAGGCAGTCTAGCTACAATACAAAGCTGAGCTTATCAATTGTATCGATAGACTCACTAAGCGAGGCCTACCGCCCACACGGAGTATCATTCGAAATATCGCGTCGCAGCTAGCTCAGAAGCAGCTTAGATACCACTAGGTTAATCGCTTTGTTCATCGCAACTCGCATCTCGTTATACTCAAGCGCACCACGCCAATCGACCGCAGCCGGCGCCGAGCTGATTCAGAAAAGAAATATCAGCTCTACTTCGAGCTTCTACGCCAAAAAATCGATGAATATAAGTTGGAGCCGCGACATATATATAATATGGATGAGAAAGGCTTCATGATTGGAGTACAGTCCCGTTTAGTCCGAATCTTTTCCAAAGCTACTCTCAAGTCTAAATTAAAAAGATTAAATATTCAAGATAGTAATCGCGAATAGATTACGCTGATCGCGTGTATCTGCGCGGATGAATCGTATCTAGATCCAAGCATCACCTACTCCAGCAAATCCAGCTCTATCCAGAACTCATGGCTCCAAGGGTTTGATCCAGATATACATACTGTGTATATCACCGCATCAGCCACTGGCTGGTCGAACGATAATATTGGTCTCCATTGGCTCAAACAAGTATTCGATCCAGCCACTAAGCCAAAAGCTCGATCTTCTTACCGATTACTCATCATGGATGGGCACCATAGTCATATAACAATGGATTTTATTAACTATTGTGATCAGAATAAGATACTATTAGCTATCTTCCTGCCGCACTCAACGCATACGCTGCAGCCGCTCGGCATTAGATTATTTAAGCTACTATCCACTACATACTCGAATGAGCTATCAAACTTCACCAATACTAGCTAAGGGCTGATACTATTCACTAAATTCTTTTCAAAATATTCTGGAGAGCTTGGTGCGCAGCGTGCAAGGAATTATCAATTCTCCATGCTTTTAGAGCTACTGGGCTCTCACCATTCAATCCAGAAGTTATACTCCAAGAATTCAAAACTACAGCTGCTAATAGCGATAGAGGCGCATTAGTAGCATCAGCTTCTGATTGGAGAACGATTCGGCAGCTACTTAATCAATCTACGAGTAATAGGTCAATTTCAGCGCTTAATAGAATCATGATGAAACTATCCGCCGATACAACGTTTCTTCAACGGGAAAATGAGCAGCTCCGGGCAGCTCTCATGGATGAGAAACAGTGGAAGGAGCGTATCCAGCCTGGTACGCTCGAGCTGTCCGATGGTTATCATGGTGGAGCTACTTTCTGGTCTCCACGGAAAGTGCGAGAAGCTCACCACTAATATGAGCAGAAACAGCGCGATCACGAGGAGTCACAACGCCAAAAAGCTATCACAATCGAAGCTAGAAAGGAGAGAAAGCTACTCAAAGCTCAAGAACTAGATGAGCGGCGGCGGGCGCGGGCACAGGCAAAACTAGATCGTGAGAGGCAGAAAGCTGAAGCAGCTGCCCACCGGATAGCCCGCCAAGCCGCCCACAAACGACTTCAAAAAGCTATCAAAATCTCTCGAATAGGCAAGAAGCCTAGCTCTAAGCGCCATGCCAGGCTGGTATTGAAAAATATTATTGTTAGTAGTAGTAGTGGTGGTGCGCAGCCAGCCGATCGATCAGCTGCACCACCATCACCACGCTCGTGTTCAGGCCGCCCCATCAAGCTGCCAATCAAATATCAGTAGATAGATTAGGTAAACGATACTACTAGATTACTACAGTAAAATTTCTCGCGATAATAGGTTTTATGTAGAGCTCTACAGCTTCAAGTTTGTGATAGTACTGTTGGGGAAAAATCCGGCGTTGGCCCGTCCGGCACCTCTAGAGGTAGAAAGGATGGTTATGAAGGCTAGCTAAAGCTAGGCTAGTGAGCGACGTCAGCGCGCGCCGCCAACGTGTACGAAGTGCTACACTCAAGGCTATACACAGACCTAATATAGATAGTACTAATCTACCTTAAAGTAGAATATAACTATGTTATCTCTTATCGTTATAGCATAATTGCGTAAAGCGTCGTGTTAAATTTGGTGGGGTGGGCCACTTACTGATGTGGGCCGCTTACTGATAAAACACGTTAACGTGCGCCACCAGTCATCCGGCCACTCCACCAAACTTGTCGCGACTGTCTGCGCAATTGATCTACAACAACGCAATAAAACGAGATAAGATTAAGAGATATAATTCATTATCTATTTCTACATTGAGTCCGAGTATGACCTTCAATGTGACACCTCGTGCACGTCGGCGGCGCGCGCTGACGTCGCTCACCAACCTGGCTCTGGTTAGCCTCCATAACCACCTTTTCTGCCTTTCTAGCCATCTGCCTCGCCTGTGAGACTTGGAGCACTCCACCAGAAGCAATATATTGACGCTGTTGGTCTTGCTTTTGTCGCTGAGGCTGATTCTCTTTACGTAGCTTCTTGTTCTCCTCCGCGAGTATTGTCGCTGATTGCATCGCAAGCTGAGCACTCTTTGCAAGCTGGCGTATTGCAATGCTTGTTGGA